GGCGGAAGGGCTGGTGGTGGCTTCTTCTCCTCTCCCTGGGCGGCGGTGGCGGTTGTGGCCGTGGCCGTGGCGGCGGCCGGGGCTGTGTCACCGGGAAACGGAGGCTGCAGAGATGGGAAGGGCTCCTTCAGGGGGGGCGGGGGGCCCACGCCTGCCCCCTGTTGCTGCTGCTCCTCCTCCTTGCGAATGGATTCGTCCAGCATCTTCATGATGTTGGCCAGCCCGTCGGGGAGGATCTTGAATTCAGCTGGCTCCTCAAACTGGTCCTCCAGCGGGGTAGGGGGAAAATCGAAGAGCCGCGGGCCTCGGGCGGGCAGCTCCCCCGCCCTGAGCGGCGCAGGCTGGGGGGCTTTATTCAGGGGGCCTGGGGTCGGCCCCGGCCCCACCTCGGGGGTCTTTGGGAAGGAGACCCTGGGCCGAGGGCTCTCCGGGCGCCTGAAGCTTCCTGAGGTATTTTGGTGGCAGGAGGAGGGAGGAGCTGGAGGCAGGGCAAGAGTCAAGGGGGCAAGAGGTGGGTCCTGGGGGCTCAGAGTGGGGCTGGGGGGCCGGGGAAGGGGATCCAAACTTCTGGCCAGATAGGGAGGCGGGGGGAAGGACACAGGCCCCGTGGGGCTGCTGCTGTGGCTGCCATGGTTGCTGCTGCTGGTGGCTGGGGGGGCGGGAGGGGTGTGCGAATCCTGAGTGCCCACAGAAAAGCGGGGAGCCGGAGGCCCCAAGAAGCCCTCGCGGTGGGGGAGGGGTGGCGGGGGAGGGCGGGGGCGTCCCTCAGCCCCCAAGAAGAGCTCCTCTAAGATCTCCCCGTCCTCGCGGGCTGCCCGGCAGGCCGGGCCCTTCAGCCAGGCAGGGGGCGGTGGGGGGCGCAGGAGGCGGGGACAGGGCGGTGGAGGAGGTGAGGGGGGGCGGGGCGGCAGGGACAAGTGAGAAGTGGCAGCGGGAGCCGCCAGGAACGGTTTCCGACTGCTGTGTGCCGAGGGCCCCAGGCGGCCTTGGTGAGAGGAGACGTCCAGCGCGGGAGTTTGGTAATGGTCAGCGCCGGGCTGCAGGCGGAGGATGGGGGGGGGCGGTGAGAGGGCTGCTGTGCGCAACCCCGCCCAGCGCCCCCCGCTCCGCCCACCGCCGGCACGCACGATGCCTGGGCTCGGCTCCGCGCCCCGGAGACCGGTGTTGCTGCTGCTACTGCTGCTGGTGGTGCCGGGGAGGCCGGGGGGCCGGGAAGGGGCATAAGGCACGCAGGCGGTGGTTGCTGCTGGTGAAACGCTGGAGTCCATCCGCGACCTCTGAACTCTGCTCTCTCTAAGGTCACTTCCGGGGGGACGGGTGGCAGGCGGGCAGCCATGGCTCTCTGCTCCTGGGGGGCGGGGGCCGGGGCCTGGGGGTGCGGCCGGGACCAGCCGGTGGCCAGGGGGGTGCGCGGTGTAGGCCGGAGCCGGGTGCGAATACGGATGGGGCAGTGGGTGCCGCTGCTCCTGTGCAGAGGGAGGAGGCCGCGAGTCAGGGACGCGGGAGGCCCGGGAGTCGGGGACGCGAGAGGACGTGGCCTCGCCCCCCGGACGGCAGGGGCAACGGACAGGAGCTCACCTGGCGCTCCGGGGGTGCTGAACCCTTGCGCTCGGGGCCCCAGACATCTCCGTGCAGGGTACTCCACAGCCCTGGCTTGCTCAGCTGAAATGGAGGGCTGGTGGCTAGGCCAGGCAGGGGTGGGGGGGGCGGCGGGGGCGGCGGCGGCGGCAGTGGGGGGGGCGGCAGCGGCAGCCCTGGAGGAAGGCCGGTCTAGAAGGAAAGAGAGCGTGAGACCCCGCTCTGCGCCCCAGTCCTGCCCTCGGGCCGCGTGCCTGCCCACAAGCGACCATACCTGCTCGGAGCTGCAGCCTCTCCTGCGCTTGCCTCCAGGGCTCAGGCCCTCATCCCCCGAGGGGCCCGACAGCGCGGCCGGGGGCACGGCCTGCACCACTGGGGGTTCAGCGGCTCGCTTCACTGGGGGACCTCCCCGCTTGGCCCCGTAGTTCCGCTTGTGCTGAAGACAAAGAGGGGAGAGGGGATGACACAGCTGCAGAGCTGGCCCGGGCCAGCCTCCCTAGCCCAGCCGGCCCTGGTCTCACCTCGAGGTGCAGCAAGTTCCACACTTGCTCCAGGGGGGGCAGGACCTTGGCTCGGTGCTGGCAGGAGCCGGCATGAAAGTTCCAGAACTGGGCCTGGGGGCAGAAGCAGACATTAAGATGAGGATACTGAGCCAGGAGGCACAATCCTGGCCCCCCAGGGCCTGCCTCATCCCACCTGCTGTAGTCGCCCGATGCGGGGTCCCAACTCAGCCAAGCTTCCTCCGTATCGAAGGGCGCTGTGGTAGCAGCGAATGGCCTCCTCACTGTCGTGCTCTGACTCGTACAGCTGCCCAAGCTGCTCCCACAGCCCGGGCTGGGCCGGCTCTCGGAGCAATGCCTGCACACAGCCATGCAGGGATTCCAGCTTCCCATGGAGGGGTCTCGGGGTGGGGGTCCTACAGAGCAGAAGGGGTTGCGGGGGTTGGGGGTCACGCTTGGGGGAACCCTTCCCAGGCCCCAGACTTACCTCCCATCCCCAGCACCTCTGAATCCTTACTCACCCTGGAGCATAATACGGTTTGTTAGGGTGCCCAGAGCTACTGCCATGTGAAGGGGGCAGGGGAGCGGAGAGTGGGGGCTGGCCGACGCTGGCAGAGCACCTAGTGAAAGAAGGGCTCTGTTAACACAGAGCAACATAAGCAGTCCTGTCCCTACCTAGGAAGGAAGGGACGGAGAGGCTAGGAGAGCAGCGAGGACTGCACTGAGGTCCACAGAATGGCAGAAACCCAGAAAGTGACACAGAGATTGAGGAGTCAAGGGGATGGGAAGAGGGTTGCCTGGAGACAGAGAGAGAGGCCCCAAGTTCTCACCTGCCTCCAGGCAGCCATGCGCTACGAGGAGGGGGATGGGGCGGGCAGGAGCTCCAGGCCCCAGCACAGCTCAAGCCCCCAAGGGCAAAGGCTTCCCGTGCAGCGCGGGCCCCTGGAGGGTCCACTGCCCGATGCATCCAGCCTGAGCCAGGGAGAAGAGATTACGGTCTCAGTGGGGGCACAGCCCGAGCCAGCAGTGTGCACACCGCCAACCCGGCCCCGGCCTTTCCCTTACCAGGTCAGCAGTGGCCCCAGGAGCCCTGGAGATCGGGCACGGCCCCCTGCCCCAGCTCTCTGGGGCGACGGTCCCGCTCCAGCCGCTCTGACAGGAGTGCCCACTGCCCCCAGATGGCCACCCGGGGCCCTTCACAGCCAACTCTACAGAGGGAAGGAGCAGAAGGAGTGAGGTGAGCTGGCCAGCACACAGCTGAGGCCCAGGGGCCGGGCCGGGCGGGCATCTGCACTGGGCGCCCAGCCCCGGCTTTCCCTGAGCGGAGGCCCAGGAGGGCGGCGAGGCGCCGGGACGCGCGGCAGGGAGCGGGCCGGCAGCTCGCGCTCGGGAGCCACTGGGGCGGACGCGCAGCGCGGCGGCGGCTTACCCGGCCTCCGTGGGAGCGTCCTCTCACTGCGTCGGCGAGCTCCTGAGATCTGGCCAATCACAGCACTTCCTCTCTGCCCAGAAAGCCAATCATCACCCGTGTCTCCGCCTCAGTAACAGCCTGGCCGGGACCAATGAGAGCGGGGTGAGCCCGGCCGGCAGCGGCCGGGGGAGGAGGGGCGGCGGAGCCGGTCAGACGGGCTCGGCCTGGGGTGACCCCGGTGTGACCCCGTGGCTCCCACCGAGGGTCTCCATCTCGGAGCCGGCGCTCGGGCCGGCGGCGCCGGCGGGGCCCGGGACCC